AAACTTGAATAGGATTCAATAATGGCATTTCAAATAGAATTTTTCTTAATATGCACTTTAATCAAAATTCTTTATTATCTCAAAAAAAAAAAAAAAATTCGTTACCCTTTAACTTTCTAATTGTTGATTTGCAGTTAATTTTAATTCATTCTGCAATTTATAACAATTGTTTATCAAGTACCCATTTTTCTTGCAATAATTATAAATTTTGACTTACCCCTTGTACAACCACCATCAAAAATGAGACCATTTCCATGATCCTCAAATACTTCAAAATGCTTCATTTTTTCCTTTGAATATGGAGCATCATAGACTTTTCGATGGCGAGAATATCACGATTATATAAAAGTGTCTTTACAAGACATGTATGAATCAGGCAATGGACTCAATAAAATTGTTTCCTAATCTTTCTCATCATATTTAACCTCTAAGATATCCAAATCAGCAACGATTTTTGTAAAGCAATTAGGCGATCCTCAAGAGATGAACTTTCTGTTATAAGATGCTAATATAGGCATTGCTTTAGATGTAATTTGCTAATAAGACTTTTCGTACTATAATGCAGTGGCTGACTTCTCATTCAAAACGTCATAAGAATATTATTTTGAAAGATAAGTATGTATTTGAGATAGGACATTTTGATCCCTATTAAAAAGTCGCATGTGCATGACATATCTTATTAAAATAAGGGGAAAATTGAAGCGCCGGTTTCAAACCTTTGAGTTTTTTGCCAACTTTATCTTAACCTTCAATTTGTGATACTGTTAGTTCCAAACCTTTGAAAAATTAACATCTGTGATCCAAATTCCATTCATTTGGACATTAGTTGACCAAGAAAAATTGTTTTGACCAAATTTAAAAAGAAAAAAATGGTAAATTCATAATCATTCCACATAAAATAATTAAAACAATTTTCAAAAATAAATAAATAAATATGAGAATGACATTTTTCATCTTCCCCAACCACTCCCACTCCCACTCCACCCCACCCCAATCCCAAGAATTTCAAAACCAAAAGCTCTGATACCAGTTTGTCGTGGAATGAAGATACTGGATTAAACCAATACCAATTTGCTGGAAAAAATAAGAGATTAGAACCAAATATCAAGTATTTGATCACAAGAGCACAAAAATAAAATAATTAGCAGAAACCCCAATCCATTCGCCCTAGCCATCTGAACTAATTCTCACATAATTCGTCTTGAAAAATAATAATATATTGATAGAACTTCACATTCTAGATGTGGTATGACAGATCTTCAAAAATTTTATAAGTTAAGAAAGCTTTTTTGTCATTTACTCCACTATTTGATTTGAGCTAATGATTATGAAAGTCTTACTTCCTCAATATTTTTTGGTTTTTCTCTAGATTTGGTGGATAGAAGATGGCAAAACCTTTTGTAAATTTCTAGCCTCTATTTGTCGACGCCTATTTTTCATTGTTTTTCTTGTGAAATATAAGAAAAATGGTATCAATATCTTGAGAGAAGTGTATGTTGCCTCCAGTTGGAAGATGCTGGCCGATTATTAGCCATAGTATCAGTTGGGTTGGCGAATGGGGTTTGGCTTGGAGTGGGAGTGGGGTAGGTTGAGGAAAATGAACAGTGTCATTCTCATTTTTATTTATTTATTTTTGAAAATTGTTTTAATTATTTTATGTGGAATTATTATGATTTTACCATTTTGTCCTTTTTAAACTTCGTCAAAACACTTTTTCTTGGTCAACAAACGTTTCAAGTGCTAATTTTTCAAAGGTTTGGGACTGGCAGTGACACAAATTGAAGGTTAAGATAAAATCTACAAAAAACTCAAAAGTTTGGGACCGCTGCTGCAATTTTCCCGAAAATAAGTGAAAAACAGAAAAAAGTTTAGTGAAAGATATATATAGAGAACGAGAAATGAGTGTGCATGATACAAGGCCTTGAATTCTACAGCACTGTCCCTTCTTTGCTCGAAAATTATAAAAGGTAATATAAATTATAATCAACAGCTTTTTATTTGATACAGAAGTTATAATCAAAGATGATAAGGAAACAACACACTTTGAAACTGTGAAAGCAAACTCAAGACCAAAACTCTCGATTTTTAACGGAGTATTCACCATCAACTTTTGATGCGTGTCTGGAGCAATCAAGCGTCCATTTTTCAAAAGTACAATCAATAAAGTCATAGTAGCCACCATGAAGTGAAAGCGTCCCCCTTTTTACCCGGTCTTCTATCCATGGATAAGTGAGTAAGTTCAACAATGACCTGTTGATTGATTCCTGGAAAATGGAAAATGAGCTCAGTTTAGTATCCATCTGAGAATGAGAATTGAAAACCTCGTGATACATTTTTGTTCTGATCCTATTCTCCATTTGGTCAGAAGTAATCACCTATGGTGATCATAGTGAAACATAGTAAAATCTCATTATGCATGGTGTAAGGGGACGTTAGGGTAAAACTCTCAAGAAAACAATAGGGGGCCACACCTTCTCGCAGTGCCTGCACTGCTGATCAAGATCGAGGTTTGAAACAGCAGACTTTGTTCTCAACCTTGCATCCTTTCCAACTACTACCCAACTTTTAATGAAACTACCGCTGCAAAATATTGAGAAACATAAAGACATCGGGAGAAAATTGAAAGCCGACGGGTTACACATCTCAGAAGAAGAGAGAATAGCAAAACCTTGAATTTTTTACATCTTGCATGCTCATTAAGGCATGGATCCCCCCACAGCAGCTGTGACCAACAACTAGTATATTTTCCACCTGCAGACAAAATCTTGACTAAGCTCTTCCAGAAAGAAGAAGATAGTTTCAGCTATGATAAAAATGTGAATTAAAATAAATAAATAAATAAATAATGGTACAGAGGTCCTCAAGCATTTGAACTCACAGGCTAAACTATATAAAAATAAAAAATAAAAATAAAAATAAAAATAAATGAAAAAAAAAGGAGGGCTTCTTAAAGGCTTCAGCTTTTGCCTAGAGGTAAGGAATAACCTTTCCTCAAATCCACGTCTCTTGGCTATCAATGTAGAGCAGCAGTTTCATGCCAGTGACTGTTAGGCTTTTAGATATTATCTTTCATTTAAGTATCTAAATGAACTTTGTTTCCTAACACACATTTTTTTATGAATTCATACACGAATGGGGCGACCAAATCTCAGAATATTGGCATTCATTCCTTTTAAAAGTACCATTTGGCTGGTTAATGGTGTACAGTGCTTTCATTTCTATAATAGAGGCACTTTACTAGGCATGCTCGGCTAAGGAATTCTTGGTCCTTTTTCATTTGGCTAGTTCAGTTATTTCTTATTCCCAGTGGCATACCAATTGCAATTCAACAAGCAGCAGCCAAGTCTTGTTCCCAGTAAACGATTGCAGTTAAAACCTTATTTATTCTGCTCGTTAACAAAAACTAGGAAAAGCATGGCTCAAATACATTAAGCAGATATTCCACTTACTTCAAGAGAATTCACAGAAAATTCAAGAGCAGCATTTGTTTCTGTAGGTCCATTCTGCATCAGTAGAATACATGGGCATAACATTCAGATTCACATTCAAAAACCCAAATATCGATTTACATTTTTTAAATACCATGATTATCCACTTAGTAAGGAGAGGAGACGAGCCCAATAAGACGGAAATACCTCATGCGGTGGCACCAGGTTTGCCACATTCCGGACCACAAAGGCTTCTCCTGGTTGAAACCCCAGGATGCTCGAGGGACAAACCCGTGAATCTGCACAAGCAATCACCATGAACTGATCTCGAAAATGTTAGTTTCAACCAACTTCTGCTCCAAATTCCAATATTGAAAACATGTTTATTACCTTAGGTGCTTGTCCCTTGGCAAGAGTTTGATAATGTTTTAAGTTTTCCCTATCGAAGTGAAGTATATAAATCCAAGTCAGGAAAAAACCATTGTTGTATATTGCATAACATTATGAAATGTTTAGGTAATAAATGAATCATACAAGTATTTATCCTTTTTGAAACTAAGAAATCGATGTCTCATCTCCTTGAAAGTATCAGAACCCTTCTCAATTGTTCCAATGCTCTTCTGTGGGTTATCTATGATCTCCTGAGTTAGACCTGCAGACTCCCTTAAGGCTTTCAATCTTAAAGTTGGAGTTCTCCTATATTGATGACAGCGATCATGTCGAGCAGAAAAAAATTGTTAGCATAATACCCAATATCACAAAGCGCATATAACTTAAGTCAAAATAAAGGCATGCTTATCTCTCAGGGTCAATCTCGAGTGTTGCATGGAAGTCTGTAATCTTAAAATGTAAGTATGTCCTATAAACCACCATCAAACAATATAATCAGAAGCATATGACGCAAGAATTAGGGGGATCTCAATAGATTTATTGAACATGTCTCCTTAAAGCAGAAAACTTTATACTTTCATAGGTGGAACTAATTTTCACTCAATAGATTTCAAGTTATTAGTGTAAGTTTATCTAATATTTTGAACTCTAAAATTAAGTCTGACACAAATACTAATTTCATTCATTAAAAAATATGATGTCACGTTTAAATATGTCAACATTTTTAAAGCTCGTGAAGGCAAGAAAAAACCTATTTTCAATATAAAAATTTATGCCTCAGCTTGGATAATTTATAAATGATTTTAATTCATTTATAGATGGTCAAACTTCATTTTCAACTACAAATTCCAATAGAACCATAAGTACTATTCCTTTATCGATCATTCATTTCTATCTATTTATATACTAAACCGTTTATAAATTCTTTCCAAACGAAGGCTATAAAATGAAATGCTCAATAGGAGTGCAAAAATATAAGAAATTCCACACACCCAACAATGAGGATTATAAATATCTTATGCAAACAATGACATGTGAGTGAATGTACACATGAAGACATCCCAGCTCGAGCTGCATGCTGGGAGAATTGAGCATAAGGTTTTAGGGTCCCTTTCTCTCTCATGGCTTTCTGGTAACGAACAATCCATAATATCAAATTATACTATTTTAGATTTTGAGCAACAGTTTTCCGGTCAACCACTTGACATCCATGTGCATTGGTTATTTCATATCCTCTTACAATAGCCAGCCAAATGACTACAGTATCATTACTCATCAGTCCACCATTTTGACCTTTAAAGGTTTTTCCATACCAGCTTACCATTACCTCCCAGATGCTCATTTAGCTCTTGAGAATGAACGAAATGCAATTAAATGACAAGATGGAAGAACTTTATCTCATAAATTTTTGCCACACAAGTAAAGTCAAGAAGAATCTCCACAAGGGGATTATATGCTAGCAATTTACACATTGGGTAGGATTTTAGGGCACAATTTGCGATAACAATATCCATTGTCTCAACTCTCTTACCAAAAATGGTGTTTATGAAAGAAAAATTAGTTGGCTAAAATTAACATTAAACTTTGCTTTCCTTGTAATCTCCTCAAACAGACTCAAATCAATGTGCGACAAGAAGCCACAACTATATAGCATCAGACATATTTGCTGATGCCAATTCTTAATTGGTTTTTTCTTAAAAATGAAGACCTCGAAAAATGACTATTAAGATAAAAAAAAAGTATCGCATCTACATAACTGAAAAGCACAAGAAAAGATGATAATTACAACTTCAAGAGACGTACTTGAAAGAATCCAAAAATCTCATCTGGGTCTGCTCAATTTCCCAAGACTTCAACTGGGAACCAAAGATCTATTCCAAAAGGCAAAAAAATGTCAATTCCACGAAACAAGCCCAGAATACTTCATACACATCAAATATAGAAATATATACATAACGAAGTACATTTACGGATTTCACAGGAGATTTGATTATGCCCATCGGTAATGAAACAGATGAAGAGGAGAATTGAAAGACTGCCTGAGACATAAGATAAATCTTTCTAGTACTTCAAGCCTAGTGAGAGGTGAATCAAGAAAATGGTAAAGTCACAACTGGAATCGCATATATATAGATCTGTTGATTTGTACCATACTTCTATTTATTTTTGCTGGTTGGATCATACACCTGTTCTTCTTGTCCAAGAAAGACGGAGAAACCAATGCTTTCTTAATTCGAAAATTAAGATGAAAATATGGGTATTTATTAGATATTTATGCCGCGAAACCCAAATTGATTGCGATGAAGTAGAGGTACAACAAAGTGAAGCCCGACATGCAAATATCGGCTCTTCAGTTCGATCAACGGTCACCGTACAGATTCGGAAATTACCTCAAATGAATAATAGTGAGTTTCGCGAACGTTCAATTTAAATAAAATTCTTTCGCGATTTTAGCTGTATCTAAAAAACATAAAAATAAAAAATAAAAAGAATAAGGAAAATTGCAACGGAACCCCCAAACTCCAGAAAAAGTGAAAATGGGTCCCCAAGACTTTAGTCTTTTATTTCAATTTGAGATTAACAGGTCGAGCATCCAATCATGTGGAATACAGGTTTATTAACCTTATATATCTTGCTAATGTTGGTGTTATATTCACAATGGCCAGAGCAAGAAGTAGATGGAGTTTGAGAAAATCTTGTTGAAGAAACAAGTTGAGAAAACTATAGCAAACCTATTTAGAAGATCAAATCAAACCCATGATGAAGATGTTTTATAATGACTTGAAATAGTGGACATAAAAGAGACGTATTCACACTGTTCTCGTGATGATATTTGTTCTCCTACTCTGGTAATACACAAGTATAGCCACCTTCTGAATACAATGAAATCCGAATAAGGTATTTATGTCGCACACTAACAAAGACAAACTCGAACACTAAAGAGAGAAAAAGACTATATAAAGAGTTTCATGTTCTATACTTTCGAATTAAAAAACAAACTTTGAAAACCATGAAATGCAAATATGCCAAACACCCCCTTGTTTAGAAGTTAGAACAAACTTCACCAAAAAAAGTGACTAAAAGAAAAACTCTTAAACCTATATATTTCTCATCTCTTGTACATTTAAAGATAAAAAAGAGTTTATATTTATTAATTTCATGCCCTACGTATATTATGAAGGTTAACGTAAGATATATATACTATCTTACAGCATGCAAAATTTCAGTTTATCGTAGTGTAGTAGAATTAGAAAATTTCTGATTTTTTTTCTTACCTAAAGATATCTACTCTTCCTGCATATGCTGCTTCGATAAGCCATTCTTGCTTTTTCACTAAAGAAACTTCCATTATTGTTAGATCAATTTGCAAACCTCGCATTCATCGATAAGACATTTCCAGAGTTGGATATGCAATGAGATATTTTCACAGATCAGGTTAATCGATTCGGAATAGCAAAACTGGAAAGCTTTTAAACACTCACATGGAAAGATCAAATGGAACGTTAAATCAAATGGCATAGAGATAATTGTTCCCAGCTTTTAAGTAAGACAAATTAAGTAACATCCAGCTAGCATACCTCTACACAAGCCTTCGCATCACACAAAGTATATATTTAGTATGAAGTATTAGATCCAAATCAATAGCGAGTAACAGAAGATGCTATACAGTATCATGAAGCTGCAATAATATAATGACTTCAGTTCTGGTGCGGTTCGGTTCATAAAAATCGTGTCTTACTCGGTATATTATGCGTAAAAAGACAAGTTAACATGAGCAATGGATGCAGAATGCAACAGTCAAGTAATGCACAAGCACAAGGCTGGAATTTGACGACAAACAAAGAAACAAAAAGTAAACAAAGGACAAGAAGATTACCGGGTCAATCCACAAGATCAGTGGCACCATTTCATGCTGGTTGGAAAATTGCTGACAATTCAGGGGCGGAGGCAAGAGAGTAGAGTTGTGGCGGCAAATTTCACAAAATTTTAATTGTGGAGGCAAAATTGAAAATTATAAAGAAATTTTTTGGAAAATCTTGTGTAAAATCTTGAAAAATCTACTGCAAAATCTTGGATTTCAAATTTAGTGTACAGACCGCACTGCCCCCACTGATCCACCCTTGGCTGGTTTAAAACTACTGGTAACAAAAACGGCACATATAGAAGCAAATTATGCATGTATTTGCTCTGAACTCTGTACATGAGGAAACCTTTATTAGATCAACTATTTCCAGCAGGATGAGAACTCGACAGTCTATGGATGACATAGAGATTGTTCATTTTCTCTCTTTCTTGTCAGTCTTCTAACTTCAAACACAGGGTTCAATGTTCGCTGTCTCATAGCTGGAGAGAACCAAGTAAATTATCAAAGGTGATATATGCCAAACTACACAGCCCAACTGTCACCAAGTATACTAAAAATGTCATAAAAACTAAATAATAATGCCAAACTACACAGCCCAACTGTCACCAAGTATACTAAAAATGTCATAAAAACTAAATAATAATGCCAAACTACACAGCCCAACTGTCACCAAGTATACTAAAAATGTCATAAAAACTAAATAATAATGCCAAACTACACAGCCCAACTGTCACCAAGTATACTAAAAATGTCATAAAAACTAAATAATAATGCCAAACTACACAGCCCAACTGTCACCAAGTATACTAAAAATGTCATAAAAACTAAATAATAATGCCATACAAACCATCACCGTGCTGCCCAAATATATATCTATATAAATATATATATATATATATATATATATATATATATATATATAGAGAGAGAGAGAGAGAGAGAGAGAGAGAGAGAGAGAAGAGATTAACCGGACAGACCAAAAAAACACAAAGAATTCTACTACAACTCCAACCGTGGAACTGCCTGAAAAAGATGTCGGTCAAACCGAAAAGAGAGGACAGTGACACCACAACAAACTAGAAACAACAGCAGCAATAGATAGAGAGGCCAATTAACACTTTCTTAAACCATCGGTACTAGATGGCAGTGATTTAATCTGCGGAAAGATCTCCTTCAATTAAAAAATAAAACCTGTGAGGAATTCAACTACCAACAAGGTCCGTGACAGCAGCACAAGGTTTTGAACCCAAAAAAAAATAAAATAAAATAAAAAAATTATGATGGATTTCAGAAGAATAATCAACTGGCAATAACAAGACAGACGAAAAAAATTCTATTGTTGTGCGTTCTCCCGTATCATGTTGAATTAAAATCAAGCACTAATAATAACACACGATATATTGTGGCTAGGGAATGCGCGTACATCCACAGGATAAAGGATAGTCTTTAACTATATGTAACATCATTTAAAATAGTCCCACATATATATAGGTACACTAACACAGCCCATTAAGGAAACGAAGCTGTATGTTGAAACTAACAGTATATGGTAACTCTAATCCTCTCTCCAACACTCAAGCTGCATGACGTGTGACTCAAGGAAGCTTGCGAAGTTCATATATACCAGATTAGATAAATACATAGAACTTACCTTTAGGAGTACAATTTCCTTCCAAGTAATGCTCCTTATCCCTCAGGGCGATCCAAAAATATTAGACGACAGAAGAAGGAATAACAGAGATGATATCCGATTTCTAGCACACTATCACCTGCAATGACTAACAAAAACACATAACAAAACCATATTTGTTCATCGTAGTTCAATGTGCAAGCAGCTTCATTGCATTGGTTGAAAGATAATGAATGGAGCATGCTCCAAACCAAATGAGAATGCAGTAATCAGTGTTTCTTTGATGCCAATTGTACAGGTAGCAGAAAACCTATGAAGCCCAGAAATTTAACTACAATAAAACCAGTAGCATTTGTAATTGAAACATGAAATAACAACAGTAACCGGCCGCGAAGGTTCTTCCTTCAAACATGTTATTCAGATCTGATAATACATTTTGTATAAGCAGAAACAGAATAGTACCAAAACTTGAGCCAAGTGTAAAACAAAACCAAACACCTTTACCTGTTAACACTCCCTGCTATTTTTGTGAAGTCTTACATGATCTTCCATAGCAACAAACAAGTAGCTCAAAAAGCAAAGTAAAGGTTCACTAAGACACATATAAGTTCACTTTCAGGGCCATTCAAGATGGAGAACAGGAAAAAACAGCATAGCAATTTCTGTCGAGAAGAGGCATTTATGAAGGCTTTACACATGCTACAAACTATTTACTTCTCATCCCTTTCATGTCGAGAAGAGATGTGTCAATATGCAACATTGACAATCAGAAACACATACTACCCAAATAATATAAGATTCTTAATTCGAGAATAAATATGACGTAAAAAATGATCTCTGACCTAAACCGTAACAGATGGACTTAGCAAAGCAATTACAGTAACCACAACCGTAAGAACCAGGAAAAAACCTCTTCCATTTACAAAATTTAAAAATCGGAGCAAATACTAAAGATTATAAGTTCAGTGAGAAATAAAGATCAAAAGATGGCATTTATTTTCAGTTAAACAATGTCACTAGGTAGAAAGGCAGTGAAGCCAAGTCCAGCTACTGACATCGTGTTTGAGACCGGGTTAAAGATTCAATAAAAATGGTATCTAATTGTAATGGCTATAGAACATATCAGAAAAGCCACTACACAACACTGTATACATTAAATTGCTAACGGCAAAACTATTAAGAAAACTACCAAAGTTTTTCCACATCATTAATTACTAAAAAGCTTAATTCATGACAAAAGATTCTTAAGCCACTAAGCCTCGACAAACCGGTTGTCCACTAAAATTATGATAAAATAGAGTCTTGTTTCACTAAAGCTTGACAACCATGTCATCAACTACAATTACAACAAAAAGCAGTCTTGTTTAACTATGCAGCTTTGACAACCTTGTCGTCACCTACAGCATTAAGAATTGGAAGACTGCTTAGGAATTCATCAAGACCCTCAAAAAACCCAATCCCTTCAATGTTATCATCCTCACCGCGTACTGGTCCAATTTCCTGGTTCATGCTTGGTGCAGGCTCTTCGACTTCATTGCTAAACTCCACATTCAAATCCAACTTCTCAAAATGCGTCTTCTGAGCATTACCTGCTGCTCCTCCTTTCTTACTTGACTTACCCACTGACTTATTCAGCATCTCACTCCCTTGTGGGAGTACAATTTCATCTTCTGCATTCGCATTCTTAGCTTTAACTCGTACTTTCTTGGTATTTACAATTATCGCTTTCTTAGGCATCTCATTGGCACTCTTTCCTTGCACATTCGTCATTTTGTTCTTCTTTTTTGGTCTCTCACCATGCCAATCAGCATTGGACTCACTTGAGTCTGACAGTTCCACATAAACCTCATCATCTTGGACATATACCCTAGGAGCCGAAGCCTTCTGTTCACCCTTTTTGTCCACATGA